ACTTGCTTGGGGCCTTGGCCTCTGGCTGCAGACTGAGGGGGGCCCCTGGAGGAGCTGCGCAGAGGCCAGTCCCAGGCCCCCCAGCCCCGTGTCAGTGCAGCCCCTCTCCCTGACCACGCTCCCGCACGCCGGCTCCTGCCCTGGCCGCTCTCCAGCCGCATGAGGAGCTCGGGCCAGGCGCCAGGGCGTTTGGGAAGCCGCCGCATGACGCCACCCCACAGCCCTGGGGCATGATTCAGTGGGGCTGGGCCGTCGCAGAGACCACCCCCCCCTCCTTCCTCGACTCCGCTCCTTCCTGGATGCGGCGCACGGCGGCTTGGCTCCTGCCTCCGGAGGCTGCCAAGAAGCTGGGGAGGGGGCAGACGCCTGCCGCCCTGGCCAGCCCCTCCTGCAGCCTCCCTCAGCTCTGGTGCCAGGCTCAGCCCCTCTGCAAGGGGCACCGCAGCCCAGCTGCCAGACGAGAGGGGCTGGGGGACAGCGGCTGGGAAATGGGCGTGAGGGGAAGGGGCCCGGCTTGCAGAGCTGGATGCAAATGGCCCTGGGCCCCTGCACCTCTTGCAATGTGCCCACTGGGCACCTTCCCCCCTCGACTGCCACCCCCCGGTGCTGCTGTTGCTTCCCCAGCTGGTACCAAGTGTCTGGCACCAGTGGGCAGAGGTGCAGAGCCCTGACTTATCTCATCTCCTGGAGCTGAGGAGCCTCTGAGGCCTCTTGCAACCTTGCCTGACCTCCCTTTGGCAGCTGGAGCCCATGGAGACCCACGAGGTCTGCGCCTCTCCCTGGCTTCGTACAGGGGAGCCCGGAGCCCAGCACCCGCCAGCACCCTGCTGCTTCTGCCCCCAGCCTTTCGCCCCCCGCCCGAGCCCAGCTCGTCCCTGGCAGCACAAAGCCGAAGGCTGTGTTCCTGGGTGGCAAAGAGTGACCCCCAGTCCTGGCCCTGGGGGATCGGGGAGCCTGGCAGCTCCAGGGGCGTGGGGCAGGGCGTGGGCAGACCCCGCTGGCTGCGCTCCCAGCCCCAGCTCGGAGACGCGGCGCGGGCGCTAGAAGTTGCTGATGGAACAAAGCTCTGAGCCGTTGCTAAAAATAACCCTCCTTGTTCCTCCCCGGCCTATTTTTAGCTTCTGTGGCTATAATTATCCGCCCTTGGCGTCGTCGGAGGCTAGGAACCTCTTGGCACCTCGGCCTGCCCCCGGTCGGCTCCACAAATAGCCGGTGCCCAGGGCTGGGGCAGAGCCAGGGAGGCTGCTCCGTAGGTACCAGGCCTCCATCAATGGTCCCTTCATTTGCTCCCGACCGGTTGCCCCGGCCCTGCTTCTCCTGGAGCCAAATCCCAGGGCGGGGAGGGAGGAAAGGACCCTCCTGGCTCTGCTGAGGCCCCTCGGGCTGTGCCCTCGCCCCCCAGCACTGACAGCTGTGAGCCCCGTGCGTGTCCACCCTGGGTGTGCTCGAGGCTAGCACAGAGGTGTGCATGTATTCGCATGCACGGCCGTTTGCATGAGTCTGGCCATACGTGTGCAGGCATGTTTGCCAGTGCAGGCCTGTGCGTGTGTGCATGTGTGCGTGCGTGCTCGCATGCACACGTAGTTGTGCATGTGTGTGTGCACGCATGCGCATGCACGGATTAGCAGGCACGGCTGTTTGCAAAAGCCTGGGCATGTGGGTATAGGCGTGTTTGCATGTGCAGGTTGGTGTGGATGTGCTTTCATGCATGTGCAGCTGTGCACGCAAACACGAGTGTGTGCATGCTGGGAGTGCTGGGTGTGCAAAGCTCCATGCAAAACTTACCCTTTCCCTCCCCCTACCATGTCACCTCCAGGTGCCCGTGCCCAAGCCCAGCCCGGCAGTGCTGGAGGGACCCAGGCACCCGCATGTGCCCTGGGCATCAGCTCTGTGCCGTGCCATCCTCACTGGCTTCCTGCAGCTGCACCGGGCACAGCTGGCACTGCACAGCTGGCAGCACATCCCCCCCCTTAGCAGGGGGCCCACGGCTGGGTCTGGGGGGAGCATCTCCAGCATTTGGGTGAAATCTTCCGTGCGGGGGCCTCTGACTTCCTTGAGTGGCCCATGCAGGGCC